TGCTAACAAAATCTTGTTTTATTCATATTTGGCTTGCTTTTTTGAATTTTGGTTATCAAGATTCCCTAAATTTATTTTTTTTAGTTGTCAACAGGCCTTTATTCATTTCTGCGCAGTGCTGAGAATTGAACCCAGTGCCTTCCACGTGCTAGGCAAGTATTCTGCAACTGAGCCTCAACCCCAGCTCTCCAGTTTTTGACTGTGTCTTCATTGCTTAGCTGTTCTGGGGACAATATTAGGCCTCCTACTGTTCCTACAGTGTAAGATATGTTACCTTTCACCAGTCCAATCCAACACAGACAACTGCAGACCCAGAGATCCCCTCAGCATTCACTCTTGGGAGGTTCCAGTGGTCATGGGTCTTGGCTTTCCCTAGATGGAAGGGCACCCTGCCAGAGTTAGCTGTGAGGTTTCAAGCTTAAGCTTCCCATAACCCACCAAGCAGCCCTGCATGCTCCTCCATGCTCAGCTATCAAGAGCTGTCCCTCCTTCTCACTGGTGGAGTTCTGGGCTGGTTTCTGAACTGGAAAAAATATCAGTGAGTGGGGACCTGGAGGAGTGAGGTTGGAGGGAGCCTCACCTGGGACTTTTGTCCAAAGTGGATGCTCCTCGGGCCCCTTCCACTTCCCATGGGCTTTCCTGGGTCCACTGGACCTGCAGTAATCACAGTGCAGGCTGCTGGGTGGAGTTGTGGCAGTGCTCATCTCTCCTGGTGGGATAACTCCTGGAAGTGCATCCTCCTGAACCCAGTAGGTGGTGCTGCCCAGTAGGCTGCAGTGGGAATCAGAGCCCTGTAAGCAATGGGATCACCAGATGTCCAGTGCAGCCACAGACTTCCAGTGGGTAACAAAGTTGGGGTCAGGTTGCCAAGAACATGGTCCTGAGGCTCAGTGTCAAGGTCCTTCCTCATGTCACACAACTGAAGTGGAACTTATCTTGAACCTTCCTCTGGAGTGGCCAAGACCAGAAGCTCCTCCACTTCCCGAGTGTCTTGAAATCATATTGCTTTTGAGAAAATGGCTGGAAGATGGGTTTATTTCCCACACCCTAAGCCTCCCCACATGCTTTCAGGCTGGGAAATTCTCACTGTGCTCTTTCAGTCAAGATTTCCTCCTGCATAGGGAGGAAAAATGGACACCCTCCTAGATCATGCCTGCCTCTGGAGTCAGGGTACTGACTGCCTCGATGGAGGGGGTGACCGAACGTGGGCCACACCTGAGTGATCGTGGAGCCTGAGGTTGGCCAAGCTCTTCATTTTCTAATAACCAAGGTAAAAACATTCTTTATTGCTTGTTTTATTTCTTATGAAATCAGCAATTCGTGCTTGGGGTAGATCAGATAGAAGGTACAGATCATCAGGATTCCTTCGAATGTGGCCTTGTGTTTGAGCCTATGGATAGTGTTGTGTACAAGTGCTGTGGAGTCATTTAAAAGGAATATACATGGTGGTGTCACAAGCATGACCATGTAGGATAAACTTGCAAATACATTAAGCCACATGAAGGCCTCACTGTGGTTTGTCAAGATCGTCCTGATTCACAAGGACCTGTCTTTCCCTCTCCTAAGAGGGAGCAGAACCCGTATCCTTGAAACTGTATTTAAGACTCCAAATTTGTTTCAGAGAGGAAAAAAAACACCAATGTTGGAGAGGACTATGATGAGTTTTAGTTAAAAATTGATTTCTAAATGTGGAAGCAGAATAAAGTAATACATGTATAATATAAACATAAAGCAACCTAAATTTCATAAATATGTATTACATCTTTTTAAAAGTTGATATTATCAAGACAAATCCCCATTTTTATCCTCTTGCTGGGAAATATTTTTTATTCCCACACTGAAATGTTTTCTTAAACCTGGTTTCAGATTTTATTTTGACACTTGTGTTTTTTATATTCAGGTTTTGTTAGATCTAGGGTCACTTGCATGTATCATCTAATCACCTGTTTTAAATTCAATGTAATCATACACATATACACACACACACATGCACATTGATCAGGTGTTATTACTGTCCTTTTTCTGTATGAGGCAGCAGAAGCACAGAGAAGATACAGAATATGCCCAGGACCTCACAGTGGCATTCCCTACTGAATGTTTGTGTCTCCTCCAAATTAATATGTTGAAGCCCTACTGCCAGTGTGATGGCATAAGAAGCCAGGCCATTGGGAGGTAATTAGAGTTAGATAGGCCAGGGGGGCGTGGCTCCCAAGATGTGATTAGTGTTCTCAGAAGATGTAAAAGAGACCAGAGTTCACTGGCTCTCTGCTAAGTGAGGACACAGAGAGAAGGCAGCCAGCTATGAGCAAAAAGAGGGCTCTTTCCAAGAACTCAACCTATCAGTACCTTGACTGTGAACTTTGCACCCTCCCAAATGGGGAGAAATAAAAGTTTTGTAAGCTTAGAGTATTTTGTTGTAGCAGCTGGACCTGACTAGAACAGTCAGTGAAAGGACTTTGTGAATATTCAATGAAATAATGTATGCAAAGTGGTCTATGAGTATTTGCTATTGCATTATCACCTTCATCATCATTACCATTTTTTATAACCAAGTGGCACAGGAGCTATTTTTCACACCTACTTCAATTCCAAAAGAAGCCACTGATATTGCTCCAGGAGAAAGAGGCTATGCACTGCTCCAGATGAGGAAGTACCCAGATTTGCAGGTGGCTTGTGGCCATTTTATGGATCTACATAGTCCTTTGGCTGCTCTGTAAATGAGTTTTCTGGCCCATCATGAGATTTATACCCCTGTGCCATCAATACCATCCCCTTTTAGGGTGTCCAAGTCAATCATGACCAGTCATTTACATCTTGAGCCATTTCTGAAATCCATGTGGATTTTCTCTTCCTCAGAGTTCTGTAAAAACATGAATGACAGGTGATATTACTGAATAACTGACATGGGAGTGGACAGCTTGAAGATCCTGGAAAGGAGGCAGGTAATCAGAGAAAAAAATAACACTAAAGATGGAGGAGGCCAACCTCTGTCCAGCTCTGGGAAGAGTCAGCTCGATTTCCTTCTGGGACCTGCTCAGTATGGATTAAGGGTAAGGTATGGGTAAGACAAGGTCAGCCATGAACTGTGAAGAAGTAGGATGCATTGGGGGTGCTGATGGAACTAGATTTGTATTTCAGGTTTACAGATTTCACTAAGAAACTCTAAAGAATTAGGTTAAATTCCCTGAGATTCAGTTTTCACATCCAAAAAATGGGCCTAGTAAATGCACCTTCTTCACGATGATAAGGTGAAGATGTCATGAGGTTACATTTGCAAAGCAATTACAAACTCTGGAACCAAACTAGATGCTGTTCAAGAGATGAATTAATAAAGATAATGTGGTACATATACCTAATGGAATATTACTCATTTTTGAAGAATGAAATTATGGCATTTATCAGTAAATGGATGAAGCTAGAGAATATTATGCTAAGAAAAATAAGCCAATCCCAAAAAACAAAATGTCTAATGTTTTCTCTGATATGTGGGGGCTAAATCACAATAAGGAAGTGGGGTAGGGAATACCAGAGATACTTTGGATTAGACAAAGGGAAGTGAAAGTGGAGAGGGTATGGGGGGAAAAAGAAGAGTAGAATTAATTGGACTTTATTACCCTATGTGCATATATTGTAAAGGAGAAAAAATCAAATTTTGGCCTCCTCATGATTCTACTTCAGATAGGCCAACTCTTCAGTCAGATCCTTATTCTGCATTGCCAGGTCAGCTCTGGCTAGAGTCAGCTTATCTGGCACTTTTTGCAGGCCATTGATATCAGCTTACACAGTCTGGCATAGAGTCAGGTCCTTCTCCTACCTGAAAAATAGTTTAAGGATGCAACACACTGATTTGGACAAGGTCACTGTCATCTTCAGGGCTATCTGATGCACAAATCTCTGCAACTGTTTTAAAGTAGCAACACTGGAGTGTGTGATGTGGTTCTTTCTTTTGTAACTCCCTTCTTTCTCTCCTGCCTTCTTTTTTCCGTATCATGATTAATTTATCAGTTGGAAGGAAGGAAAGGGAAAAATCATGAGGTGGTGCTTTTCTACCAGCAATGAACCCCACTAGCACTGTGCATCCCAGGAAGGGATTTCCCTTTAGCTAGGTGTTGTGACTATAAAAAACAGCAGCCCCTATCTTTCTGTGCAGTTTCTAATGGTGTCCTAAGAGCAACTGAAAATTAAACAATAGTTATTATTTTGCTCAATTTTCTTCAAGATTTATTCAAACATTGGTACTTCTTCATTATATTTTCCAAGATTTTATAAGTTCAGGACCATCATCCTTGCAACTTCCTATTTGAAAATTTTGTAATCCAAAAAGTTTGTATTCCTTATGTCGGGAAGTATGGGATATGAAGAAGGAGATGAAAATATAAAAACAAGTGGATGGATAATGTTTCAGTTGCATGTGCATAAGGAAAACAATTGTTTCACTTAACCCCTTGTCAAATACATTATTAGTTCATTTAATTCTTTGAAAATTCAAGTTAGGACATAGTAGATTATGTTGAATTATAAGTCATTAAAACTATGGTGAGAAACCAATTTATTTTAACAATGTGTAATGTGAATTGTGTTTGATTCTAAATACTTTTTGGAATGGAAATCCTATTTTCATTTGCCTAA